CAACTTTTGTGTTTCTCAACCGATTGGACCGATTAAGGGCTCAAATGAAAGATCTATTCTTCCTCTATCGGACACACACCACACTTACCGGATGTGGTCACCGGAAGTGACCGGAAAACGTGTCTCGGAGATGGTCCCGAAATTACATAGAAAGCGTTAGAATTAAAAAATTATTTTTTGTGCCCAAAATCATCACATTATTAGGCTATTCAATAAAACGAACCGCTTTTGAAAATATTAAGCCATTCCAGAGATATTTAAATTATAGCCGGGAACAACATTTCTATACGACCTAATATATTTACAGAATAAATTGATAATAGATAGTACTCAAATATGTTATTTAAAATCAGAATTATTACAGAAATATAAGCAATAATTATTTGATAAAATGATGAAATAGTTATACTTTAATTGACTCGTATATCAACTCTATTATAGTGTAAAGACTATCACATAAAACACATTCATAACTGTATTATTGAGACAAACAATTGACTGATTATTGCTAAGCATTAGTTTTTTTCAATTATGATCACATTTTTTGATTAAAAATTAATTTATTCAACTGTTATATTGTATATATTTGATTACGGATCATTTAGTGAAAATTATAAATTATTATGGTAAAATTAAAGTAGTAGAGTAAAGGTCCTTTAAGAGCAACTTGTATTTGCCAGAAAAATTTGTTGCCTATAAAGGAATTTGCCTATATGAGACTAAACATTCATTTTTATTAATAATACATAAAATACAGTTTTAAAGCAAATAATCATTGATATTAGCATNATTATCATTTAATCATTATTATCATAATTTTCTAATTATGTTATTTATACCTAGTATAGTTAACATAATAAAATAAAAATACCAAAAACTATTTTAATATTTGATACCAGTATAGTTTGTAGTTTAATACCTAAAATATGTATTACAAAAACAAAAATATTATGCAATAAATTATTATTGTTACTCATATTAAAATTTTTACAAACAATTAATTACTACCCTGATCAATGATTGGCTAATAAAATAAAATGATTTCATTAAACATCCGCTGAGAAAAATATTTTGCACTGAAAATCATCAGTTACTTAATACCTTGTTTAGTTAAAAACGCAAAATGTAATACATATGACAAACAAAATTCATATACAATAGGAAATTCACATACATTTGAATGCAGTTTTAATTAGTCTTATAGTGACTATCAGTTTGTAGTCAATCAGTATTATGTCGACTAAACTAACGGTTAATACCTATTAACACAAATTGGATTCAATATAAAAGTGTTAATAAACAGGGTAAAAGTTAGTAAAGTTTTAAAAATTAATATTAATTATTAACTTATATCCAAATATTGATAGGACATGGACTTCAAAATGAGTGGACAGTTGTCTGTGGCTATACTACTGGTCCTATTATTATGGCTAACGGTGTCTACGTGTATGGCCAGTGAAATGGGAGAGTTAGGTGATTTTACATCTACTGTTCCCTCAACATCTACCGGTGCTCCTATACAACCGTCAGTGACTTATATGTCCGGAAGGGGACTGTTAGCCTATTCCGCGATTTCATACATTTTGTATAAGTATTATTGTTATTAATATTTAATTTATTTTAATAATATGTAATGTTTGATTTTAATTTTGACCAAGACAATTATCGGCGTATTGTTTTATATCTATTGAAGATCAAATTAACTTGATTAATTTTACTATATTACTTAAAACCACCATGTTATTTATAATGTTTTTTAAATAATAAGTAATTTTAAAATTAAAAGTTCCTTGTATCATAATATTTTTGTATTATTATAGCTTACAAAAAGAATACTAGTAATTATGCTTAATGTACTCCACCAACTAATATTATAAAATTACAATTGCTAAACAAATTACTCATTTTTATGTACTTATTATATTATATGTGTTATTAAATATTTTAAACTCATAAGTACAATTATTTATTTAAATAATTTTTGTATACAGTAGATTATTTTTGTGATAATGATATTCTTACATTTGATTTTGTAAAGTGTTAAGTTAATTTAATATAAAAGATGTTTAAATAGTAAGTTGTATAACAATTATTTTGTTATAATACATTCTGTTATAACACAGATTAAAAATTGGATTATCCATTAAAATGCAATTTAAGTTTTGCCTTCATTAGATAGTTTTATCCAAAGTAATATGTAATATTAATTTGTACTAGTAAAAATACTTAATAATTACATTTATTAATTAGATCCATAAATATAATACAATTGTTAATTAAGGCATATTAATAAATGTAATGATATTTACTACATTTAGTATTTTTATTAAACTAATTAATTAAACGATATTAGGACAAATTGATAATTAGTCTACATTTTATGATATAAGTGTACAACAAAATTCATATACCAATATAAGTAAAATAAACTACATTTATACTTAATTATTTATTATTATAGTTAGTATATAATATTCAAGTGTGAATCATAGTTTATTAAAATCACAAAATATTTTATTCAAAAATGAATGTAAATATTGATACGACTCAACCCATACCCCCTGAATGGCGTGTAAGTGGTGCTGACAGTCATGTCTATCGCATTGGTTTATCACTATTTAGACCCCTATCCGATCACAAACGGTCTAAACTCCATAACCCTATGCTAATATTCATAGTGAATATGATCATGTTAATAAAATCTTTATGTACAATCTATATTTATGTATACAATATTAAACTATCTGACTTATATTTCATATTCATAAGTGATCTGGATCATTTTCTGAAAACAGGATACACAATGAATTTAACAATAATCATGGTCTCAATATTCTCGATGACATTACAAGTTATAAACTATAATAACTACAGAAATGATATAAAACCCACGGATTTGAGAGTATTTCAAATGATTTCGGGTTTAATTGCACCTAAAAGTATCCAGATCAATGACCACTTATTAATCAGCAAACTATCATTCATATGTCGCAAATTGTTTTATTATTCAAAAATAATTGTAAATATATCAACACTTTTAGTATTTGTACTTTTATTTAATATAACTATTAATGGTGTAAAAGTTGATTTTATAACTTATATATTAGTTGTTTTCATTTCAATTGTGCATGCTATTTATGGCAACTATGCCTTAAGTATAGTAATATATTCATCTGTTTATTACTTTATTATTACTTATTATTTAAAATCAAAAATTAAAATTATCAATAATGAAATACATGAGCGACTTATACAATCAAGAAAATATGATTATCATGAAAATTACTTATTTATTAGAAAAACTATACGAGAATTGAATGCAATTTATGTGGAAATACATGAATATAACAACAATTATTGGGCCAAATATTTAATCTCAGTTTGGTTTATATTAGGTCGTATAGAAATGTTGGTGGAGTACATTAAGCATAATTACTAGTATTCTTTTTGTAAGCT